GCACGATGCCTCTGCAATTTATCGCTATTAAAAGCCAGCCTTGTTGCTTGTGCAGTACAGAGGGCGCTAAGAGCAAGTTAGAATATTAGTAGTAATAAAAGCTATTTTAGCTTTCTCGAGCGCGACAAACCTTATTTAAGACCACTAATAACAACATACAAAATTTAAAATACAATTCAGTATAATTTAAATTAAAGTTATTTTATTTGTATATAGTTTGCCATAACGTCTCCTAGTCGCGCTTCAGACGCACCGTCACCACGTGACCCTCCTGGTTGATGTCGCTGGCAATTTGTTTTGTACCGTGTTTTGGCCCAAGCTTCGCTACCATCTGTACATATACCTTGGTTACTTCGCGCACTTTGCGTCTTACCTTTGGTGTTCCTCGAGTAAAAATTCCTTCGTCAACCGCACATCACGGAAAAGGGCAAACTCAATCCCCGAAACCAAAAGCCACTCTCGAAAGAACAAACTCGAAGCCGCTGTTTATCGCGTAGCGTGAAAGAAGGTTACATCGCTAGCCACCAGATGGCGGGGTCAAGCAGAGTAATTGCAGGTAGCTAGGCTAGGTGGCGCTAGGTACCGCCCAATTCATGTTTTACAAAAAATAATTTGCTCTTTTTAGGCCACTACTGCGCTTGGGGATCCTCTACTATACACAGCATACACACATTACGCTTATTACAAGCATCAGGTGAACATACAATGAGCACATACACGACACACACAAATATCAATACAACGGGACACCACACTAACACCACAATAACCCAAACACTACACCCATGCTCTGCGTTTCCGTCTTTTATACTGGTCGTTTTGAACGTACGGAACTTTTCGGTGACTCCCTAAGCAATAAAAAATATTCTCAGCATGTTGATTTTTTCCCAGCAATGTCATACCTCTGAGAGTATTTTGAATGGTTCAGGGGATGAATCTCTTATTAAAAAGTAAACGCTTGATCATGCTGTAATTATTTGAAAGCCAATAAATCAAGCCGCTCCAATGCGGTTCGAATCCATGAGTTTGTTTCCCCACACGGCACGTCGTAGCCTGTATTTCTATTGGTTTTTCTATTTGTGCTGTTCACGCAAAGCTGCAATTGCCGTTTTGAATTAATCTCTGTAGAGCGGATATTGACTCAGCTGGAAGTAATGCTTCACGGGCTGAGAAATCGCTTTTCGATCAACTTGAATGCAGTCAAAGCCGCGACTTGTGGCAGGTGCTAAGTGTACGAAGCTACGCCGCAGCGAGCACGAAAACTTCTAGCGCTCATCCCAGCGCGCCACGGAGGGCAGTTTCTCCAGGAACCGTAGTATAATTAAACAGCCAATTAAAGGGTAGTTGTTTTTTTCTCGATTCTACCTACTATTGTTTTTTAATGCCGAAATTCCATACTGTAAATATACGTACTTTCTGTCACGATTTCGTACTGTTCAGTCCTTGCCCCAAAGCGCAATCGCTCTCGGGGACGAGACAATTCCGACAGTCACATTGGCCACTGTACGATAGCAGCTTCTACTGTTCAGACCAGCGTTCCAACATGACTATCCGCACGTTGATCGATTGCACGTAATCCCTCAAGTGGTATTAAACTTTTTAATGAAGCGGAATGTCGACCTGCGACACCCCGCCCCCTCCGATCACGGCCCGACCAGCGGCATCAATGCCCAACAGTTTACGATCTCATCTTCTTGTTACACCACTGATACGCGAACACATGGTCACATCGGCGATAATTCCAGTCTTCTGTTTACAACCCACAACACTGCCATCACGATTTTGCTGCTATGTTGCTGACACGCACACAGAACCACGTTGAACGCCGGTTGCACTCGACATCGGAAAACAGAACCGAACTCAGGGGGGAAGGCACCCAGGCAGCCGGCAGAAAAACCTGCCTGTCTTGGGTGCAGTTCCTGCGGTTTCCATAACGCCGAAAACGTCGACACAGTTCCGCGTGGTTTCGCTACTGTAGTGACTGTAGTGCTGTAGTTCCCTCGGTTCCGTGCCGCGCGAGTCCCGCAATCCGGAGACGGCCATCCCCCAGTGTAGGGGCGCTGCTGGTACTGCTCCGGAACTTCGCTGTTTCTAGCGGCTTCGTTTTCTCGTTTGATAAAATTAGTGATAAAAACGTCAATGCAACCGAAATGTTCTGCACGTTTAGACTAGAAGACGGAATTACAGGCGGCCTTCGCTGCCGCTGAAGCTCACTCAACTCAACAGCTATTTATTAAACAACGTGCGCGACGTGCTCGAAAAACGGGACCGACAGAAGATGAGTCGGGAGGGCGAATATTTCTCCCGTCTGCCTGGAGAAGGAGAAAAACGTTTCGTTCTTCCCCTTTTCTCGTGGTCGCTTGGGGGCGCGTCGGTAGAAGGGAGGAAGATGCGCCGTTGCTACTTTTTTCCTCCATTTTTTCTTAGAGTGTAGCATGGTTTATGCGGAGCCAACGAAAGTGGCTGTGACGGAACTTCCAGCACACCACCGGCGCAGCTCCCAAGCTTGGGTTGTGCTGGGCAAGGGTCAGACACATCGGAGTAGGACGGACGCCCTCGTAGAGCCCTATTCTCCAACCCGCAGTTTTATCAGTTTCAAGAGCCCTCCAGGAGGCGCAGCAGGTACCGAGGGCCAGGCGCTCCGCTGTTCGCATTTCATTTGAACCCGATAGTACAGCACGTGTACCTACACCAGCACCTTGTTTGTGCTTCAGTAATTTTGTAAAAGGAATATTGCGCTTTGTTATACGTTGTGTGTGAGCGTTAATTAGACTGCACTTTGTCTAATAGTTCCTGGTTAGAGACGATATAGACGATACCGCACATCACGGAGGAGTGGTAAACCATTCGCCGAACCAAAATTCGCTCTGAAAAGAGCAAATTCAAAACAGCCTATGCTTGGCTCATTGTTGCACGGTAACCAGATAACATCGCGAAGCGTGAAAGACGGTTAAATAGCTCACCACCAGTTTGCAGGGTCAGACAGGGCAATTGCAAGTAGCTTGGCTACGTCGCAGTAGGTGGCGCTAGGTACCGCCCCGGTACATACCCAAAAATAATCGACCAATCAAAACAACACTCACCGTATTTGCGTTTCAGGAGAAGGCGAAGCTCAGGTTCTTGTAGATGGTGTCGTCACCACGTGCCGCTTTCGTGGCATCGAGCCGCGTGCCATATACCAGGCCGACTGTACATGAAAGACGATAAAGTATGATTCTATTTTCTCCGCAAGCCTACATGACTGCTCTGTCTCGTTGGCCTTAACACATGGTGTCAGAAGTGGCCGTTGTCTGCCCACGGGACTTTCTACTCTGTCGACGGGACTTTCTACAACAGAATACCAACCCATATCGAGCGCGATGACAAAAAGCCCAGCACGTCATTCCAGCACGCCCAGCACGTCAACCTAGCACGGCATCCCGCAAGCTATGGCGGCACTGCTGCCGCCGCCACGACCCCTGGATAGTGGCGGGGACGTCTGGCTAAACTGGAAAACCTGAGAAAGTGAGTTCAAGCTTTTTTTCACGGCTACGTTACTCAGTCTCCAACCAAAGGAGGCTGCAACATTATTGATGACTATTGGAGAGGAGGCGAGAAAAACGTACAGCACGTTCCAGTTCAAAGAAGGCGAAGACATGCAAGACGTTGAAGTGCTTCGAAAGAACTTCGAAAGTTTCTATAAGCCTTCAACTAACCTAGCCTACCATGAGTTTCGCTTCGGTACAAGAAACTAAAGAGAAGACGAGAGCTTCAACGAGTGGCTAACTGACCTTCGCATCCTGGCAAAAGGTTGCGATTTTGGTAGCTACAAAGAACGCATGCTTCGAGACAGAATCACCTTAGGAATCAGAGATAAGAAACAAGAGCGGTTAATCTCTGAAAATCCTTCCTATACGAAAACTGTTGACATCTGCAGGACACGAGAGCATGGAAAAGGGCAGTGCCAAGAAATACAAGGGGCTTCACAGCAGCCGTCGGAGGTGAACTTCGTTGAGAAACGGATGAGGCGTTCATTTTCAAAGTGCGGATACGACATACATCGCGGTACCGCTTGCCCAGCGTCGGGTAAAATCTGCAAGAAGTGCGGAAGGCGTAACCATTTTGCGACGGTCTGCAGCAGCACCCAAGTTCCACCAAGAAGCGGAAAGCACACAAAGAAAGGTCTTCGTCAGCTGGAAGCTAACGAAGATGAAGACTACTGGTTGGAGACTTTGACTGTAAACACCATCTCAAGAAACGACCGCTGGTTGGACACCGTCGAGATCGAGGGAGCGCCTGTGATGTGCAAGCTCAACACGGGGGCCGACTGCTGTGTCATTTCAAGAGAGCAGCTTGGAAAGGTCACAACCAAACGAGCACAACCGTGCGTCGCGGTTTTGAAAACGTTCTTTGGGCACAAGAATCAAGCTTCCGAGATTTTTTCTAAGGCTGCAGAAGAACGAGGAAATCTTGCGAAGCTCAGTTCTTCGTAACGGAACAAGACAACCCGATTACATTGAGCGGTGGGACAGCCGAACGCCTCGGACTGATCATCCGCGTAGCAGCAGTTGAAAACAGTGACCAACTGTACGAAGCAGCTCGGCCTTATGAAGACATCTTCCATGAACTAGGCCAGCTTAAAGGTGTGGTTCACCACATGAAACTGAAGCCGGAATAGCACGGGGTCATCAAACCAGCAAGAAGAGTTCCAGTCGCCCTTCAAGACCGGGTCAGAGCCGAACTACAACGGATGGAAGCTGGCGGGGTCATCGTCAAGGTAACAGAACCCACTGAGTGGTCAAGTTACATGGTCGTTGTTGTCAAAAAAGAAAAGGTCAGAACATGTTTAGACCCGTCAGACCAACCGAGCCCTCCTCAGAGAGCACTACCCGATGCCGACGTTGGAAGACGTTGCACCCAGCCTTTGTGGAGCAAGGTACTTTTCAACACTCGTTGCGGCATCTGGGTTTTGGCAAATCAAGTTGGGCGACGAGAGCTCCAGGATTTTCACAACGAGTACACCCTACGGCAGATACCGGTTCCTTCGTATGCTTTTTGGCATATCAACAGCGCCAGAAGTCTTGCAGCGGGCGATGCGCAGAGCGCTGGACGGGCTTCCAGGCGTCTCCGTAGTAATGGATGACATTCTTGTACGGGACCAAACCAAGGAGGAGCATGATGAGAATTTAAAAAACGTACTTGAGCGCTGCCAGGACCACAACCTGAAACTTAACAGGAAAAAGTGCCAGTTCCTGTTGGAGCAAGTCCGGTACATGGGCCACGTTATCACCAACGAAGGGCTCAGCTTAGATCCCGGGCGACTTCAAGACATGTTGGGAATACCGGAGCCAAAAGACAGTAAACACCTGCAAATCTTTCTTGGAACGGTTAATTTTGTGGCACGCTTTATACCATACATGTCGACAGTTACCGCTCCGCTGGGAGAGTTACTAAAAAAGGATGCCGCCTTTTTTTGGACGGAACGGCAATAGTTGTCTTTTGAAACACTGCAAGAATCGCTCACAAAGGCTCCAATGCTAGCCTATTTCAACAAAAACAAGCCGGTGACTCTCTCAGTAGACGCTAGTCAGACAGGTGTAGGCCCGGTGATTCTTTAAGACGGACAGCCAGTAGAGTATTCGTCACGCTCGCTCACCGAGACCCAACAGCGATACGCGCAGATCGAGAAAGAAATGCTTGCTATCGTGCATGGATGCACGAAATTTCAAGATTATATCTTTGGGCAGCCAGAAGTAATCGTCGAGTCAGATCACAGATCTCTTGAGTCTATTTTTAAAAAACCACTTTGTCAGTGTCCTCTCCGCTTGCAGCGAATGAGGTTAAACCTACAGAAATATCTGATAAATGTCACATACAAGCCAGGAAAGGAATTTTTTCTTGCCGATGCCTTTTCGCGGTTTCCAAGCAAAACACAACTTCAGGAAGAATCTAAAAAAATTTAACGTGAATGTTCTCGACTATGTGCTTGTATCTGATTAGCGGCTGGCGAACATTACGCAGGAAACTGACAAAAATCCGGCGATGGCACAACTCCGGCAGTTCGCAAGCGACTCTTGGCCAGAAGAAAAAAGCTCTGTTCCCCAAGAAGTTGGCTGCTACTGGGACTACCGAGACGAACTGCATGTGCAGGATGGACTGGTTTTTAGAAGTAACAAGTTAATCATCCCAGCGGGAAAAAGACATGAGGTATTGAGTCACTTGCATGCCGTACATGGGGGCGCTGAGGAGATTAAGGCAAGGGCCAGAAGCGTGATGTACTGGCCAGGCATCAATAGCGACATTGAACAGTTGGCGAAGACCTTTAGCACCTACCAAAAGCTCAAGCCGAGAAATGCGAAACTCCCTATACTTAACCACGATATCCCCAGACTCCCATGGCAAGTAGTGACTGACTTGTTTCATCACAACGGTCAAGATTTTTAGTTGTGGTTGATTTCTATTCATTCTTTTTTGAAGTCAGGTAGCTTCGACAAACAACAGCGACTGCGGTCATCACAGCCTGCCTGGATGTCTTCGCCACGCACGGGCTGCCAGTGAAATTATGCAGCGACAATGGACCACCTTACAGCAGCCATTAATTCCGAGACTTTGGAAGTAAACACGGAATTACTCATGTTACTTCAAGTTCGTATTATCTAAGGTCAAACGGAATGGCCGAGCGCGCTGTGCAAGAATCCAAAAACTTTTGAACAAGTTCCCCTTGAACTCTTCAGAGTTTTTCTGTGCTTTGATGGAACACTGGAACAGCCCGAGGGACGACCGTCTAAAGTCTCTAGTCCAGAGACTCATGGGAAGGCAGAAAAAGACGCTGTTGCCAGTTCCATCCGGCCACTTGATGTCCAGCACCATTCCCCCCATAAAGGTACAAGACAGACTGCGGGAGATTAGATACCTTCAGCGCAAATATTAAAACAGGTCTACTAATCCACTGGCAGACTTGGAGGCTGCCACGCCAGTGTCTGTGTACGACACGCATTCACGCACGTGGGCTCCAGCCGTTGTAGCAGGGCGAGCGGGAACACCACGTTCCTACGTTGTTGGTACAAACGACGGGCAAATATTGCGCCGAACGCGAGAGCACCTCAGAGCAGCTGCTGTTGTACCGCCGTCGGTCTCAAGGCCTTCACCTGAGCCGCCCCAGCCAGCACCCGAGCTCAGGAGAAGCTCAAGACGGCGACAAATTCTGCGCGTTTTTCAAGACCAGAGAAAGCCCGCATTTCTCCGGAGACCTAATTAATACAGGGACTGTGTAAGTTAACCATTTATTTAGAACTAAAAACTTTAGTTTATGGGAAGGGGAAGATGTAGATGGTGTCTTCACCACGTGCCGCATTCGTGGCATCGAGCCGCGTGCCATATACCAGGCCGAGTGTACACGAAAGACGATAAAGTATGATTCTATTTTCTCCGCAAGCCGACATGACTGCACTGTCTCGTCGCGCTTGACGCGGTTCTAACACAAGGAGGTGGCAAAACTGTAGCATCTCAAATGTTTGCAGTCCTTTATATAGCCATGTGGAATGTCCACAACCAATCGACCGTGTGGAATGTCCACAACCAATCGGTATGCGTTTGTGCGCCTTTTCAAAAACGGAGCCGTGAACGGGCATCGCTAGCTAGTGGATGGTTTAGTTTGTCTTCTGTCTAGGGTTTGAACCCGCCGAGGAAGTGCTGTACCATTGTTATCTCGACCAAAAAACAAGAATGAACCTTTACTAACTTGGTAACTGGTCTGAGGTCACTACAATGCAGAACTTAACGATGTCGAACATTGCTTACAACTGGATATGCAGAAGTGTATGCACCTCACTTACCTTTAGCGCAAGACACCTAGAATGTATTCGTAGAGATATTCGTCACAGAACAATTCGCCACGCGGTCAATTGGTCCGAAACCTCAAAGGGGGTGAAATGGGACATGTATGTGTGGAAAATAAAGTTTCGAAGGCCTCTTTGTTGTACGCCTACTTTTTGGTTTCGGAGCGATCAGTCGCTTATGTTATTTACATTCTGTGTTGAACCCTGTTAGCTTTTGTTTTCTAGATTCTCTGTTCAGCCCTGTTTAGAAAGGACACAATGCTTCGCTGCGTTGAACAACAAAATTGGGTTGTGGGTATGTTTATGCAGCCTAGAACTTGGTCTGCCTCAACGGACGACGAGTTTCCCAGTTTTAGATGAGAAATTTAGCCAGCGCAGTACAACCGCTAGCCTTGGTGCTTTAACGTGCACCACGCAGTAGTGATACACGACAGCACGCGGGTACGAGGCTCATCTAGATCGAAACAGGGGTGGGTGGGGATTAAACCAAGAATTCCTGGGCTCATTGTATACGTTGAAGACTCTTTTTGCTTGCATCCTTCTAATTTTTGCCTGCAGCCTAGCTTTTATTTTTTCTTTTTTTTTATTTAAATACTTTCTTGTGTGGATACGACTGTTAAATTTTGGTGTTCCCTTTGGCTGCTTTTATTTTTAATCTTTATAGTCAGATGCAACCTGAGAACAATCTTTTAGCTCCACCCACAAGCGCATTGCGCCCATCTGAAGTGCCTCCGCCGTCGAGAAAGTAGTTCGCTAGCAACGTTGCTTTTTCTCCCTCCAGGAAACGTGTCCTAAACTACTACATTATTTATTTAATTTATTCAGGACATTTAAATAAGTTAGAATACGTTTTTGTCAACGAAATAGCTGTTTAGTTAAAAAAGAAAGTCATCTCCAATGTACCGTCTTCCCAATTCAGTTTCTATCCAAGATACTGTCTAACATACCGTCTTCCAGCGCCTTCGATTGAGAGAAAGCCGCTGGGGAAAGCGAAGCACTTATAGTTCCTGCAAATAATAAATATTTAGTGATTTGCTTAGTTTTGTGGGCTTTGCGCACGAAATGTGTGCCTTTATTTTGTTGGATGAATAGAAAACAAGAATAATTATACTTTTCGGGTTTTGACAAATCGGCACCCTCCCAAGTCATCGACACCACCACCGCGCCCCGCTCTCCTTGTCTTCCGTCATGGATCCCACTGAGGTGACATCGGAAAGCGATTCCCCTGATTCTTCTTGGACGAAACAGCCTGGTGCAGCCTTACCGGCGACACCAAAGCGGTTCTTCAAGAAGCACAATCCAACAAAGCAGACGACGTCCGGCGTAGCTTCTCACCTCTCAGCAGTGCTAAGCCTCGCGCCCGCTTCGAACTTTTCGTTGGCGATAGCGTCGCTGGATTCTCACGTTGTCGCGCAAAAACTGCTGCAAACGCAAGCCGATACCATTAAGATTTCGTGGCGTAACCTCGGGCACGTAAAACACGGTGCAAAAAAGCAGAATAATTGTCACGAGAAACTAGCGTCGCGTTGCTAAGGCCAGCAGCCATGTTGAGCTTTTTTTTTTTTTCAAAAGGATCGCGATTGGTTTACAGAATCGTGACGTCAAGAAAACGATTGGCTGGCGTTTCTCGGCGTAGGATTACATTTTCCTCTGAGAGGCATTTCCGGTTTTTTCTTAGCTTGCAACCGACTATAGTATTGATTTATGTAACCTATGCGCCAAGGCGTGCTGAAGACGACGAAGAGCAAGGGGCCCAGATCGGTGCTCGTGCTCGGGCTCGTGCTGCTCGGCATTCGAGGAATCCGCTGGCTGTATTTCAGCATGTACTCTTCCGGACTAACCTGTAAATATCTTGTATGTAAATGTACATATAACAAATTTGCCGACGAGGAAATCGGCAACAGCGGGCGATACTTCGACCACTCAGCATGGTTGACCAGAAACCGCTTACTTTCGAAGCTTTCAAGGCAGGTGAGCCGGAAACATGGCCGTTGTACCTGCAACGGTTGGAATTCTATTTCCAGGCGAATGGAATCGCTCCACCCAAGTTAAAGCGAGCAGTTTTCTGCAGCGTCTGCGGTGCCGAGACATATGCAATCCTGCATTCTCTCCGCGCACCCACGACTCCATCCAAGACGGACTTCTCCGTCATCATAATGAAGTTGGGGAACCACTTCGCACCGAAGCCCTCGGAGTTCGTGAAACGTTTCAAGTTCCACAAGCGGACTCAGCGTAGCGATGAGACAATTGCTACATTTATCGCGGATCTACGCCGTACCGCAGTGACTTGCAATTTCGGAGACACGCTCAACAGCAGCTTCCGCGACCAGATCGTGTGTGGGGTGAAGTATGAAGCTTTGCAACGACGTCTGCTCAGGGGAGCCGAACTTACACAGGCTCAAGCAGAGAAGATGGCCATCGCAGCGGAATGTGCAAAAAACGACGCTGTGGAGATCCGAACCACGTCCCAAGACGTCAGCCAAGTACACAGCGTGGCTAAAAACGGACCTGCACCGTCAACGCCTGCCCAACGCTTTACGAGGCCTACAACAATACAAACGGGGTTTTCCTGTTTCCGGTGTAACGGGGAACATCAGCCGGAGGACTGCCACTTCAAGAACGCCACTTGCCATTTTTGTGGCCGCAGAGGGCATATCGTCCAAGCCTGTCTCCAAAAGAAGGCAAAGAAAAAACCCTTTTCGGGGCAAGGAAAAGGAAGAGCACAAGCTGATCTGCTGGACGCTAATGCTACCGAAACATACGAGCTGTGTAACCTCTCGTCTAATGAGCCTTCCATCCTCGTAGAAATCAGGATCAATGAACAGCCAACAATGATGGAAGTCGACTCCGGATGCATGTTCTCTGTCATCAGCAAAATAACAATGGCACGACTTCGCACTCCGAAGCAAAGGCTGCAACCATCCACTGTTGCGCTGAGAACCTATACAAAAGAACCTGTAACAGCTCTCGGCAGATTACACGTCATGGTATGACCCAAAGAAAAGTCCGCAACTCTACCACTCCTAGTGGTCAAGGGAAAATATGCAAGCCTTCTTGCACGAGACTGGCTCAAGCCTCTAGGAATCGGTCTCACTGGTGTCCATCTGCTTAAGACTGCCCAACAAGATAGTGGATTCCTAGAGGAGTTCAAGGATATCTTCAAGAAAGGCCTGGGGAAGAGCCGGGGACCACCTATTCGTGTGGAAGTCGACACCTCTGCGATACCAAGGTTCTGCAAGGCAAGACAAGTTCCCCAGACAACACTTGGACATCCCTAGGATGTCCTCAGGACAACCTTTTGAGGACGTTATGATGTCCTGAGGACGTCCTCAAATGATCCTGGAAACATCCTAAAAACGTCCTATTGTCCGGCCTCAGGAAATCCTCAGAACGTCCTCAGGAGGGTAGCCAAGGATTTTTCTAGTACATTTTTAGGGCAATGCACTACAGGTGCAGCTGTTCACTGAGCTGTTAGGATGCTTTCATTTCTATTGTTTCTAGGTTTTCTCCAACTCGACTTTGAAACTGAAGATGCCTGCAAGAGCTGCTTGAAGAAAAAAATGCATCGTTGCGCACTATTTTAAAGTGAAATTCACACACTAATTT